ATATTTTCAGTCTAAATTGTTTATACAAAATAATAAAACATTTGTGAATAGTTTTATAAAAGAACGATTTTTATGATACTGCTCCTATCGCTCATTTCACGTTATCAATACACAATGCCCTTACTCGTGGCACGAAATTAAGGGAAATAAAATGAGTGGCTAATGTGTGGGGCGAAAATGAACAAACCAGTAATAACAAGTATTAAAGGAAAAAATAGAAGCGATGCGTGTATGTAAAAAAGAGGGAAGAGGATTTAAGAAACACGAGAATTATACTGCAACAGAGTGAACAATATTCACCTATTCCATTATTGATTAGATTTGCCGTTCAAGAGGAATTCTTTTTCCGAGTATTTTAATATTAACGCACTCCTGAAGCTTCTGACTTCTCTTTCGTTCAAAAGGATCTGATCCTGTAAGTCCCCAAGACATTCGTACAACAACCCCAAATCATATTTCGAAATGTGTGCATCTGACCTCAAAGATTTTATGAGTGTTCCCAATTAGCACGATTTTCGCAGAGAACGTGTATTTGGCGGACCTGTGCTCCTTTAACGCCTCTCATATTCTTTTCGATCGCCCACTATTCGCTGCTTCCCTTATCATGTCTCAAAAATTCTTCGTGAAGATTTCAACGTCTGTGATGAGGAAATAAATAGCGTCGAAATTTATACATCCTGAGGTAACGAAGTTCACGAATTGCCTTGGACGGAATTTTCTTTCATTCCTCATTGAATTCTTGAGTGCTACGATTAGATAGAACGAGACGGTAAATTTGAAAGGTCACACGCATCAGACAGCAAATAATGTAACAGAATAGTTTCAGTACCAAGCTGTCTGTTCGCGGAGGCATTGGATGCAACTTCTCACAAGGAACGGCCAGCAGATTAATGATTTGACCGAGCTGCATAATTGACATTTGTTGAATAAGACGAGACGTAAGCATTCCTGTTCACACATGTCTCACGTGATCTCCTCCAAATTGGTTGTGGGGAAGTTCGCGACGACAAGTAAACCCAAGACAATGGTGAAACGTCCTCGCAAATCTTTGCAAAAATTTCCACGGGGATCTGTGTTAATCTACAGAAATTTCGCAAGTTCAATGTCGCTGAATTTTTTTCCATTGGCTGTATAACCGATTTTCCGTTATTGACGCGCCCGAAATGAAATCCTTATTTTTTCTTGATTCGATACTTGTTTTCCTACCTACCATTGTATATTTTGCCTACATATTATAATGATTACGTGATGACCATAATTATGCCTCCAAAGAACGTGTCCTCGGAAAATTCAATAAAAGGAAAAAGAATTCTTTGTCTTTGCAAAAATTACATAAAATTGGTTATAAAGTGACGTATGCAAATTCAATTACCGGGAATTAGATTTCCGAAACAATCAAAATAACTTGACACATCTATTTTATTATTTTCTACTTTAAAAAAGATGAAATCTCTTGAAAATGTGACCGGCGAAGGAATGTCGTTTAGCGAAGCCTTGGACTCCCTCGATTTATTTCCTCGCGTGGAACAAGACAAAGATGCAAGTAAAACACGCGAGACGTCATTTTTCGGTACATCGGTAGATCTCTAGATTGAAAATTTTACGCGCGATCTATAATTCACGCATCGAAAATTTGCGAATAACTATGCAGGTCAAAGCACACTTAATCTAAAAGAGGGCACAAACTACGCGCTCAGGATTCCGGAGCTATCTTCGCGACCAGTAGATGTTCTATTGGAATCTTTGCCAGAGCTACAAACTGCAGCTCGATTACAAAAGCAAGACGCATGTTCATCAAATGAAAATAATCAAACTAGCGACTCTCTTAGTATGAAGTCGAGTCAAGATCCTATTTCCGAAACCCCACCTTCAATTTGGGAGGCCGTGTTAAATTATAAGGAGCATGTAAATGATAACGTTTTGGATTATTTTATTATCAATTGTGCAATAATAATAAAGAGTATCATCATCACAAAAACAATAGGGACAAATGATATCCTGGGAGTCGATTGGAAAATCTAAACCGAGCATGAACAAAGCATCACCCTATTTAACGGAGGCGGACATATCAACGTATGAGGCTGTGTGGCATAACCATTTTCATCATGAATTCTCTTATGGGAATACCGGTGTTGCCGTGGCTCAAGAGCTTTTGGTTCAGGTTTTTATTCATTCGATCATGCAATCCATTTTTAATTTAATCGTCTGGTGTCATACGAAAATTTTTACATATACCCATAGAACATTTTAAATTTGATTATTGGCATACCCTCGAATTTATTTTCTTATGATCCAATCAAAAGGATTTTTAGTCCAAAGATACCAAACATTCGTATACGAGGTTGCAGCGCTAGAAGTACGAATATGTAAGTTGACTTTTATTCTACATTTAATAAGTTTACCGGTTCTTCATATGTCTGTGGTCATCATATCAGGATGATGAGTCGATTTTTGAACCTCGGTACTCACATCAAACGCCTGGAAAACACAGCCGAGCGTTGTATGAAAGCTGCTTCGTAAGTTTTTATTCGCATCACATGGTGTCAACCAAGTGTTATCAAATTAAATAATTTTATCCTCTCTTAGTTTGTATGGTTTGACGGGGGTCGCTTTTGGCCGGTCCCTGGCCTCCTTTATTCTGCTCATACGCAAATCTCTAGTCGCAATGTCTGAAAAAAATAATGCGACAGATCACACTATAATTGTTGGTTTGTACCACGTCATTGATGAAGTTTCGTTGATAGTATGGAGGATAGCTGTATTCTGTCGTTGCGTATGTACTTAAATAGACATGCTAGTCGTCGTCTATGGACAAAAAGGTCTTTCCAATAACTTACCATTTTGCAGGATGTTTCAAATACCGGATCTGCTGAACTATCAGCTGAACAAAGTGCGCAATTAAAAAAAGAAGGTTTTTATTTGCCATTTGGCTCAGGCATATTATCGGAGATTTATTCTACTGCAGAGTCGGTAGATTCCACCCGCTCTCCTTTCCTTAAATGTACTTTGTTGGCATTTTTGAAACATTCCAGTGAACCATTTTTCCAAATGCTGAGTTCGTGGCTTGGAGTATCGGCGTCGTCAGCTCATGCTCCATTACCTATTGACGCACCAAAGGGCGATTTTCACGATCCGTATAAGGAGTTCTTTATAGTTAACTTTGAAATAGACGCTTCATTTGTGAAGCACGATGGAAATTGCTTCTGGCAAGATGGAATACAAGTAGAAGATTTGAGATTCATTTGATTTTCATTTTTTATGATTATAATACACTTGTTTATGTTATTAATCTCTTCCAGGTTAGCGATAAGAATCCCCTGCCAATTTTTATTGACACGGGACTTGCGCGTGACGTTTTGGAAGCTGGAAAATCTCTGAGATTGTTACGAGATTGTCGTCCGAATCATCCGTTATGCCAAGCAAGTACCATGTTAGACCCCCTAACCAGTAAACCAATTTGGAGCACAAACATGAAATGGCTTTTCATTCAAGGAGACATTGACGAGTAGGTGAAGAATCGGTTTGTCACGAGATAGTCTGCCGTTTATTTACTCGTACGCCATCGAATTTGACAGTCTCATCCTTGAAACCTAGGATGCAGGATCATAAAAATCGTTCTTTTATAAAACTATTCACAAATGTTTTATTATTTTGTATAAACAATTTAGACTGAAAATAT